GACTCACTAACTGTACTAACTAAACTAACTAACTTTACTAACTATACTAACTTACTATACTGCCTATACTAACTTTACTGACTATACTAACTTTACTTATTGTGCTAACTTATTATACTAACAATGTCGATTCAATCAACAAATACACAAGGGGAGTACCTCGCGGCAGCAGCGTGCTCTCGTCCTCGTGGCGGCGGCGGCACTCGTCCTCGCGGCAGCGGCGCGCTAGACCGGGCCGGGAGGCAGGTGGTCGCTGGGGGACGCACGGGCGCTGGCCTCAGTGGCGGCGGCGGGTGGACGCGGGATAGAAAGAGGGGCGTGCGACAGTTGAGAGCGGTGTACAGCGGTGGCACGACAGTGAGGGCGGCGACGACAGTGGCGGGCGCGGTAGTGAGGGCGGCGGTACGGCAGTGAGGGCGGTGGCGAGCGCGGCGGGCGGCTGGCGTGTGTGGCCGGCGGGCGTGGCGTGACCGCATGGCGGCCGGCGTACGGGCACGGTTGGCGCGGTGGGGGCCGACATGCGTGGGCGGCGGGTAGGGCGGTGGAGTGGCGCGGCGGCGGCTCTGCTTCAAACGGGACGCGTGAGAAAGAGAGGGGAAGCGAGGTCGGGCCGCAGGCCTGTACAAGGGGCTGCCGCACCGTGATGCATGGCGCGGCAGTCCTGACGGGCCGTGATCTGTGGTGCGGCAGAGCTAGGCCACGTCACCGGTCAGTGGCCCTGGTCGCTGCCACGTTGGCAGCCTCGCCGCGCCTCCATGCATGGCGCGACAGCTTAAATTCGCCGCGCCATGCGAATAGGTGCGGCTAAAAGTATTAGATTTGAAAAAAAAAATTAAATTGTGTCAATTTTAAAAATAGTTTAAAAATGTGTTCAAAATAAAAAAAATCCCCATGGAGTGGGCAAACATGATCACCTTGTCGCCTGCCTTCAACTGCTTCCCGCTCGGCAGCACGTCGGCGGCGGCCGCGGCCTTGTGCTCGAATGGGATGGGTGGGTACAGCCTAAGGCACTCGCAAAACACAGCGTGCAGGTACACCAGAATGCTGAGCTTGGTCGCGTCGAAGGTAACCATGGCATCGTCAACAGCGCGCGCGCCTTCATCGCGGGAAGCAATGGCGCCAAAGAGTTCGTCTAGGAGTTTCTAGAAGAACCACGATAGCATCACGGCCACAGCGTCGTGGCCGGTGATCGCGAAGTTCACTGCTCCCTCTCTCTACGCGGTCACTCTAGTGCACCCGCCTCAGTTAATCAATAAAAAAAATTAAAAAAAATCCAGGTTTCGGAGCCACCTCTAGCTTATGGAAGCTGCTCCAGCTTCTGGAGCCGCTGTCACCCGGACCATCCTTTCCACCGTCCGTGCCGGCTCCTGTCGCCATCGCGAAGGCCACTCGTGCGCCACCGTCCGCCGGCTCGCCGCCGCAGTCTTCCTCGTCCGTGTCGGCTCCTAGGGTTCTGCCCGCCGTCGTCGTCCGTGCGACTCTAGCTGATACCAGATCTGCAAAAGCAGAGAGGGATGAGAGAGGAGTGAGAGTGATGAAGTGAGGAAGAGAGGGAGAGATGAGGAGAGCTATACCTGCCCCATCGCCGCCGCCGACGCTGTCCTTCATCGGATCTGGTTGACCTCCATCGAATCCGGCCACTCTCCATCGAATCTGGCTGTCCTCCACCGGATCTAGCGGGCCTCCATCGAACCCTACTACCCTCCACCGGATCCGACGACCTTGCTCCTAGAATTGGTTAGGTGAGCTTTAGCTAGCCCGGCACCTTAGTTGCTTATTTAGGATCTTTTCAAGGTGCTTGATAACTTAGAGAGAGGGGTGTAATCTTGGCTAGACCGATAATTTTAATTCCGCACTTGTATCGGTTAGCCGACGTGATTATTTATAGAAAGGACTATTTACCCCCACTGGTCCATCATCTCAACCCTATAGCCGGCGGTGAGCGGTGGCGCGCGAGGACCACCAGCACCTACGATGCTCGTTGGTGCCCCTTGGCTTGGCCCGGGACGACCTGAGGCGCCCCTACATGTGCGCCCAGCTACCATCAGTAGGGGCTGCGGCGGCAGCCTGCGGCGGCGAGGCATCCCGACGACGCTGGGTTGGGGAAGAGACCGGGAAGGCACTGCCGAACTGTGGGAGGGGCGGCGTGGTCGGCTTGGGCTCTGCTGCTGCCAGTGGATGCAAGAGAGAGACCGAGAGATGGGGAGGGCGAGACGGAGTGGGGTGATGTTTTTCTTAAAAGAGGCGGGCGAGGCAGAGTGAGAAGCCGCGTCCGAACAGACACCCGTGTCGAAGTATTTCCGATTTGAGAAATCTAAGAACAGTCAGGAAGTTAAATTCGAACGTTATAGCACCGTTCTATGGCTAGAATACAAGTAGAAAGCACCTCCATCTAGCCAGTTCTGGCTTTGCTCGAGCTTGGAAAGAAACTTGTTTGGATGCCTATTAACATTGTAGGTGTATATGAGGTGGCATCCTACAACGACAGAGATGGTCAACAATTCAAGAAAAAAGTTAAAATCATCTTAAATCCCTAAAAATATTTCATAACTCCTAAGATTTGGATAAAATTCTCATACATAGATAAAATATTTAGAGCTCTTAAAAGGTTTATATATACCTCAAAAATTGGATTTTACACTAAAAACAGAAAAAGTTCAAAAAACCAAGGAAATTGATTTTTTCACTCATAATACATTAGGTGCAACCCGCTTGAGTGCAAAAAATAAATAAATTATATCCTATGATCAAGTAAATTAATTTAGTAGATAATGTTTCCCTAGACTAAAATTTCATACATAGGTCTTGTTTCGATACCTACAGATTTTTAGAATCCAGATAAGAAAAATCTTAGAATCCTAGAATCCCATGCGAACGTACCAGGATTGTAGTAGATTTTACCACACGGACATGAAATCTAATAAAACACATTAGATTTTTTTTACCCAGATTTTTAAAATCTCTAAGGATGCAAATGGTACCTTATTACTAAAAGTTGGAAAAAATGTTAGAAAAACATTGATTTATTTGTGCATTCTATAAAATAGTTTTTTTGGAGGTGTGATAGGGTGGGGGCGTTACGGTGATAGCACGGCGGAGCTAGGTTATCGTTCGAGTGGATGGCGGCGACAGATTTGGCGGTGGGGAACCTGGAAGATGGGCAGAGGGGTAAGCACGCGGATCGGAGGAAAGAATGTGAAAGGAAGAAGAAAAGTAGGTTAGAGAGATGTGATGCTAGGTCATTAGATGAGGTTCATCGGGCGGTCCAAAAATCGGGTGCTAGGTCGGGCTATAGACAACTTCAAAATAATATGGGAGTTGCTAAAATTAAGGTGCATGAATTTTAGCTTTTTTCAGGCGACAGATATTACATATTTTTCATGTTAAAATTGCAGCTTTAGTTCGTTATTACAATTTCTGTAGACATAATCTGCAATTTTCGGATCCTAGAATAAAAAAACCAGATAGATAAAACCAGGACCCTGACAAAATCTAATATATATTGGCACACAGACAATTAAAAATTTATAATTTTTAGTTAGATAAGGAAAAAAATAATATATTGTAACACAAAGACAATTAATAAATGATAAACAAATGGCAAGAGGACAAATACAATGTGGCTGTGCCACATGGCCAGCACGTCGCCTAGTGTAACTTAAATTTTCACGCACCTGAGGATTAGTAAAAGTGAAATATAACATACTTATTAGAGCATCTCAAACATAGTAATAATCTTATTGCCACGAATCCTAACCTTCCCAAACGATTTTTAGATAAAAAATTGTCTGTGTTTTTCACAAAAAAATCGGTCGTTCAGTGGCAGCACGTAACGCCGACGGAGTCTTTTCCATATAGGTTTTTTTTGAGCTTGGCTTTTCCGTATAGTTAGTAAAGATTGGTTTCTAAAAATATTACTTCTTTCCATAAATATAGAGATTATCTCCTTCCCGGCGATAGATTTATTGGCTTATTGCTACTCCATGTCCATGGAGATGGATCAAGGATGACAAGGAGAGCTTAACTCCATGACGGGCACGATGAGCTGCCCCTACGACGAAGATGAGGCTCCGCTGCCAGTACCGGTGCACGCATCGCGGAGCGGGGGTGCTTGAACAGAACACGTACTGCGAGTACCCGGCGGTCGCCAACGGCGCGGACCACAACGGGTTCGCGGTGATGGTGCACCTCAAGGCGCCAGCGCTGGTGACCGTGGCGCCGCTGGATCTCGTCGCGGTGCTCGACGTCAGCGAGAGCATGGCGGGCGCCAAGCTTGCGCAGGTGAAGCGCGCCATGGCGTTCATCATCGACCGCCTCGGCCCCCGCGACCGCCTTAGCGTCGTCGCCTTCTCAGGCGATGCCCGGCAGGTCATCCCGCTGACGCGCATGACGGACGACGCGAAGGCCACCGCCAAGCTCGCCGTGGAGGCCCTCGAAGCGAGCACGCCGGCATCGACCAACGTCTGAGCTGGCCTCGACGAGGCGGCAAAGGTGCTCGGCGGCAGACGGGACTGGAACGACGTCGCCAGCGTGATCCTTGCCTCCGGCGGACAGGGCAACAAAGGCGAGTAGGCGACTGCAACGACGTCATTGTGCCGCCGTTTTTCCGGCCCGTCTGGGCCTCCGGCTACCAGTGCACGCCGAGTCCTACCATGACGCGGCGGCGACGGCCATGCACAACATCTCGGAGGTCACAGGCGGCATGTTCTCCTTCATCGAGGACCACGCGGTGCATCGGCGGACTCCTACCGGCGCGGGGAGGCCGCCCACGCGGCGGGGCGGGCGAGCAGCGGCGGCCGACGGCGCCACGGTGAGAGAGAGCTAGCGTGAGCGAGAGGGAAGGAGGTAGACGCGCCGCCTAGATATTTTAGGACCTTATCGGCCCCAGGGAGCCAGATAGGCTCATCGGCAAAATACGGCCCACTTTGCCGTACGAGCCTGCCCACTTTGCCGAGGTCCAGAGGCCCCTCGTGGTGACGCCGACGGACGTGGCGCGGTGCATGGAGGTCGAGCGGGAGCCCCTCCGCGTGGCGGCAGCGGAGGACATGGCTCTGGCGCGTGATGCGGCCGAGCGCGGCTCCTACGCCGAGGCCGTGCGGATCCTCGACGCCCACCGGGAGTCGATGGCCCGGTCAGCGCCGGCACTGTCCGGCGACGCGACGTGCGGGGCGCTGGCGGTCGAGCTGCACGAGCTAAGCCTGCGCGTGTCGGACGAACGGGAGTACCAGCTGACGGGCCGCGCGTGCTTCCTCGCCGGCATGAGCTCGCACGCCCAGCAGCGCGGCTTGTCGGTGCGGCTCGCATGTCCTTTGTCGTCGGGGCTTCAGTTTGGATGTGCGGGATCGGCAATGTTCGTGACTCCGGCCATGCGGAAGATGGAGAAGCTGTCGGAGATGTCGCGTGCGCAGCATGCGCTGGAGTATGGAAGAAGCAAGGCCGCCGCCGTCCCTCTCCCTCCTCGTTCTCACCTCGAAGCAAGGTTGCCGTCGGCTGTCCCTCATCTTGGCGTGTTTCAGAGAAAACGCCTTCCTGTGCCACTCAAGCGCTTAGCAAATGCTACTAGTTTTAGTTTGGTTCGTCGCTCCGTGTTCTGTCCTTTCTCAGAGGACATGAATGAAGACGAGGAGTTCGATCAGAAGCACAGTAGTCAGATGGAATGATTTGGTTTCGTTTGGTATTTATTGTTTAATGTTTAAGAGATCAAATCCAGACTGTTATGATACTGAGTAAGTATATTGCTTGCGGTATCTCATAATGAACTAAGTATTAATCTTGCCTTGCATGCTAATTCGTTGGCTCGTTGTTAAGAGCATCTTCAGCAGATCCCAATATCCCAAAAACCTATTATTGGAGGAGTTGGCTCAAAATCGTTACCCTAGCAGATTCCCTTTCTCATCCCCAACTACTGGTGGCCACAAAAAAAACATCCCAACTCCCCCCTCCCATCCAGGGGGAGATATAGCTCCCCCGAAAACTCACCTGCATCCAACGTTCAAAATTTTGGCCGGTTTTTATTGAAACCGGCGATTTTCGTTTCTATCAGTGACCTCCGATAAATTCACATGTCATAAATTCTAGTTCCATTTTGTTCAGGTTTTTCAAAATTTCAGTCAGAAATTAATGAAGATTTGAAAATTTTGATCGAAATTTCAATCGATTTTCGTTTCTATTGGTCCCCTTTGATATTCATGTCTCAATCGGTAAACTGAACTCCACCCACATCCCAACTACTGGATTTCTTTTTCCCGTGGATATTTCTGTTCTGACGAGGCTTCTCCTGGTGCAGCGACGGACGCGGATGGGTTTGGCGAGGAGGGCCACTGCGTTGGAGGGGCGTCAAGGAGGCGTGAGGCGTGGCGGTGGAGAGGGACACCATGCGGGTGCCGCTAGATCTAACGCCAGCATCCACGGGGGAGCCCACACTCGGTGGAGGCATGCTTCCTCAAGCTTGAGCCGGCGTTCACCACGAGCAGTGTGCAGAGAGAGCTCGAATTGGTTATGGCGGATCGAGATCTAGGGAGGAGGAATCCGAGGTGGGCCCCACGGCAATGGAGTACTCGGGGAGAGAAAGCGGCGGCCGGCGAGGGAGAGGAACCGGCGGTTGGGGCAAGCGAGAGAGCGGTGACGGGCTACTGCGAAAGAAGGAAGCGGCGAGGAGAGCGATGTCCGCATGGGGAAAACAACGAACGAAAGAAAAATATAACATCTTTCGTTGACAAGTGGGCCCATCTCTATTGGCGATAATTATTGGCTATCTACTGCTGTATCTCCCCCAATAAGTTAAAAAGTAGTATTGGGTTATCCCCATTATTATGTTATTGGAGGAGTTATACTGGGGAGTTGCTGGAGATGCTCTAAGGTTAGCAGCGAATGCAAGGAAACTAATCAAGAGTTAAAGGTAGAAGCGAGTAGAGTTCGTCAAAAGATTGAAATAATCAGAGATATTTATGGATATTCATGTAAGGAAAGAGAGATTAAGAAGCAGACATGCAAGGAAAGGAGATATATTCATGAAAAAATAAAATTAAATCAGCTATAAATAATAAACTATCTATATTCATAACTTTAAATCGGTCTAGCGTGCTTGTATAACTTGAACTTTTCCTGATTACAATCACTAGATGTCATTTTTACAACTTTGTATCCTTAATCAGTATTTTGGACCTAATTTGTAGCTAATTATCATGCAAGACATACCTATATGTAGAGCAATAATCATGTAGACATGTTATGTCCTTAATTAAGGAACGCAATTGGTTGCCCACGTGGCCCCTTTCAGGAGCTGTTAATATAACTAGTGAAAATGCACGTACGACATGCACGTATCGACATAAAAGAGTTTGTATATACCACAAATATTTTGTTACAAAAATTATGCGGAATCTCAACGGAAACAAGTGTATCAAAAATAATTGATAGAAAAGCACGGCATAAGTACACAATGTAGTTTCTTATTGCTGATGTCTAAATCTATAAGCAGAATTAGACTGGTTGTCCTGTTAGCAAAAAGGAAAATTGCAGGAAGACAACTTCAGCCAAGGTGACATGTTGCCATAATTACACAGTCAATGGATTTATTCAAATCAAACAACTATAATGGACTGCATTTAAACAGAAAATCGATCAGTATACAGGCAATAGAACAGTATACTGTAATCTCAAGATTGCCGTGTTGTGTTCTGTAAAAAAGCAACTCCAAATTCACTTCTATCATTTTCATCTACATCATCCACTATTCTGTGTGCAGATCCATGTGCATTTGCTCGTTGAAGGGAATTGAGCTTCTGAGCTAACTGAGCTAGGTTTTTCAATACTGAGTCTTGTGCAGTGTAGCCCACAAGGCTCTCCAACTCATTCCTGCTGAGATATAAACCATATAAGTTTACAAATCCATTAGAAAGACCTTAAACTTACAACATCCACAGGATACACAAAATCATGCAAAAAAATGATGTAACACGGCACAAAGGGTCTGTATACACATTTTTTATGCAACCGGCCTATTTGTCTAGGAGATTACAGCCATATGCCATCTAGACCTCAATAATCTACGCTAGCAGTGTGTGAGTGAGCTTTTCATTTTAAAATTCCAATGCTTTAAGAGCTCCCAAATTACAATGCATAGAATTGAACCCCATTTAAGAGCACAAGAGCAAAAGAATTACCAAGTTTTTAAGCCTTGAAAAGAGAGAGAGAAAGCCGTTGTTACCTTTTGGAAATAAGGGCTCTTTCGGCAGCAACATAGTCCGTACGTGTCATCGCCACGAAATACTCAACAACTCCACAAGTTGCATTAAACTTAAATCAGAATCACAAGCAAGCACGCAAACACCCATGAGGAGTGGAGGTGGCCAAAACATCACATAGCTCTAGCAAGGGAGTTCGCGGGGTTTGGAAACCTTACCATATAATCCCGGCGTGCAGCATGCACGTGTTTATAGCTATGATAGATGACATCCTATTATATTATTTTCACTATTAATTATCAATTTTTCCATCAAATTCATGGCCAGACTTTGACAAATCCAAATTCCAAGATGATATATATATATCTTATCACATATATAAGTCTAATAACTTCCCTTAATAACAGACACTATTGATTAAAATTAAAACATGATTCAATAATTTTTTACATTATTATATTAAACAATATATATAGACGTAAACAAAACTACAGGATTGGAAGAACATAACGAACCGTTGAAGTTTGCTATCATCATTATGGTATGCCTCACTGACCTGGGATTAACTCCTCCGCTTTTCTACTGTTCCGCGGTGGCTTCGGTGGCTGCAAAATTCATAATATAGATAACAAAGGTAACCATCTCTAGTGCGTCACCGTTTAATTTACCGAAGTGTATAAACACAGATGCCAAATAACTATATCGAAATTAACATGTTAAAAATACAAATTGTAATAGATAATAATAAATCTCAATTTTTTTTGATACTGCGCTTGTGCTTTCTTTTCTAATGCATTGCTTTCCAATTTAGCCAACAAATAGATCAAATAAACTAATGAAGTAAATAATATTATAGATGTAGTAAGAGCAACTAATAAGCAATACGAAGGAACAGAAGCAGCTACGGCTATGGCCCTTACCTGATCAAGTGGAAGAGCGTGTTCGTCAGTTTGTCTTTGTACACAGGCAACACCGATACATGGGTCGGCAGCACCGGCAAAAATTGTGCCTTCATGGCTTCGTCGGGTTGGCAACACCGGCACGAATGATGCCTTCATGCCTCCGGTGGGTCAGCAGCACCAGCACGAATTATGCCTTCATGGCTCCACGTCTCCGCCCGTGGATGGTGGCCTGTCGGCATGGCGAGTTCGTGAGTACTGAGTACTGGTGGATCTTAGGACACAACACAGGGATGAAAGCATGTTAATGGCTTGCAGCTAATGAACTTGAGCAGGAACAAACGAAATTGAGCTGGCCAGACTACTGCATTGCAGTATGCAAACGTATACTCCCAGCAAGAACTGAACAATCTAGTAGTAAAAGGAGCAGGGGAAGGCAGAAGCACCTGGCCGTTTTTTATAAACTATATTACTTTCCATTTAAGGCATTGTATATTATAGATATTGCTAGTCAAAGTGGCATATATTAGAGACCGTGTAGATGCCTGAATGGGTTTATATTTCCGACCAGAGGAAGTAGAGTAAGAATTTTTTACTGGTTCCTGAATTTGAATGTTCTTGTCTCAAACACAAACAATCAGATGCACAATAAATAAAGCAGGTTAAATTCACAAACCAGATATGCTGATGACATCCATATCAGGGAAGTCAGCCTAGACGTAGTCCAGCACGTCACCTTTGGAGGCCAATTTCATCCCCATGGCATGCCCTTTGCTGCAGCTGAACCTCGTGTACAGGTTCCTTGCTGCAATCGCACACTTCACTCCCTGGAGCCTTCCAAATTTGCTCAATCTGCACAAATATTTCCCGAAACAGGTCGATCATCACATAATCCCACCTCAAAAAGTGGGCAACAGCACGAGCAATTTAAGGGTTTGACAGACAGCACCTGCTGCTTTGATGGGGATGGATGCACAGAGACGTGTCCTCAAACACAAGAGTCGCGCTAGCCTAACGGCAATCGTTTAGCGTGTGGAACATGTGTGACGTTGATTTGGGATCTAGCGTTTTTTACCTGTTGAACACCACAACCAGGGAGTCAAAGTTTGTTGGGTCCTCCAAGAAGCCCCAGCCCTTGTACCAGAATCAAGGCACATGTAAATTGTAGTTTGATAGTGATGTGTAGTCGTTTTGCTTTCAATGGCTCCCTGCCAAAACAATTGGCACACAATTAGCAAATACAACTTCCGTACCCAGCCATGGCGCCGTGAGCCAGAGCCCGACGTCGTGCAGCACCTTGTTGCCAGAGGCGTCGTCACGTCGTGGGTGTAGGCAAAGCACATGCTCTTGGTGATGGGGTCCTGGCCGGTGCCCTTGGCCACGACGAGGACCATGTGGCCGTTGTTGCGGAGGTGCTTCTCCAATCTCCACGAACTCGAGGAGGCCGCCCTTGCCTCAAGGTAGAAGGGCGACTCCGGGATGAGAGCAAAGAGTAACGAGCTGCTGGCAAAATATGGGTTGATGCTACTTTCTCATCAGTATGATCCTGATTCCCGAGCCCTGAAAAATTCAGTC